ATGGACTGGATCATTGAGTTTGGGGAAGAGCCTTATGAACTAGGCCACTTTTTGGGACAACCTCCCAGGGTTGGGAACTTAGGGTGTGACAGGGTGCAGCTGGCTGATAGCACTCATAGCAGGTGTGACTTGATTTTAGTTCCTTGACTAATTTACAAGATTAGTTAACTACAGCTATCAGCTTCTGTAAACAGGCTTGCTACCTGATTGGCTTAAGGTATGGTCTGAACTCAAGTTGATTGGATTGTGTGCTACTTAAGCTGATAGGATGATTTGTAATGCACACCGTCTAAGTTAATTGGAAAATCCCCGGCTGCTGTGTGTCAATAAGATCTTAAAAACCCCTGACTGCGGCCATGCAGTGCAGCGGTTTCTAAGTGTAGTGGGAGCTGCTGTTGCCAAGCTTGCCTAATAAAGATTCCTCCTTATGTCCTACACTTGTGTCCAGCGTGATCTCTGTCACTCTCAGTAACAATGGATGGGGGCGGGGACAAACACAAGGAAAGGACCGATTAGAGGGTTCAAACTTTTTTCATTCAGCCTTTAAGGTGCTATTGTTATGATATGTGCCATATTTGACCAAGGCTGGGCCTAAATAGTATATTCCTTATTTGCTTGAATAAAACTTCATACTGTTTGCCATTTTAAAAGTAGTTAGGGATACTGTCCTATGACCCAAAGAAGAAAAAAAAATATTAATCAGATTCTTTGAAGGTAGCTTGTGATGGATTTTATTCTACGGCTTAGTGAATTTCAGGTTTTCAGAATGACCTGCTCCTATTCTGCCATATGCGAATTCCCACAGGCTTCTCAGCAAAATCTCATGTCCTCTGTGTGGCCCAACCTTACCTTTATGGTAATATTCACAAAGCTTCTGAAAATTATAAGAAGAGATTATAGCAAATCCTTTTACACATGTAAAATTACATCTTTGTTTTTATGCTTGGGAGCAGACAACTGTATCGAGTTTTCTGTAAACTCACATTCCAGAAACTGCTGCCAGTAATCCAAATCCTTGTGTGTATTTGTATATAGGGAATATGAGGGTTTGGGGCAGGCATTGGGGCACAGAGGTTAAGCTACTGCTTGGGACATCACACCTTATATCACATTAGTTGGGTTATAGACACAGCTGCAGATCTGGCTTCATGCAAACGCTCATGCTGAGAGGCAGCAGGAGACAGCTCACATGCTTGGGTCCCTGCCACCCATGTGGGAGGCCAAACTGGAGTTCCAGTCTTCTGGTTTGAGTCTGTCCCATCGCTGGTTGTCACACATATTTAAGGAGTAGGAGTAAACTGGTTAGTGAAAGATTGCTTAGTCTCTGTCATTCTGCTTTCAAGTAAATAAACTTTTAATGCTTTGGGGGGGGGGGTTTAAGGATTTATTTATTTTACTTGGAAAGTCAGAGTTAAGAAAGACAGGCAGAGATCCTGCATCACTAGATTACCCTGTAAATGGCTGCAGAAGGCAAAGCCAGGCTTGTTCAAAGCTGGGAATCAGGAGTTTCTCCCGTGTGGGCACAGAGGCCCTAGGATGCAGGTGCAGGATCCCAAGGTTTTGGGCGGTCCTCCACTGCTTTCCCAGGCCACAAGCAGGGAGCTGGATGGGAAGTGGGGCCACCGGGATTAGAATCAGCGCCAATGTGGGCACAGAAGCCCTAGGACTTGGGGAATCTTCTGCTGCCTTCCCAGGCCATAAGCAGAGAGCTAGATTGGAAGTGGAGCAGCCAGGGATGCTAGCTATTGCAAGTGGAGGATTTGCCTATTGTGCCATCAAGGTGGCCCCTCAATGAGAATTTTTAAAGCTATGCAATCAACTTCATAGTTGAAGACTTTAGCAACTGGGTCAAAGGCTGTCTTTTCTGATGTCCCTTGGTAGGACTGCAATTAGTTGTTCCTGCCCTGTCAGGAGCCCATGCCTTGTTTTAACATCTTCAGTCTGCAATAAAAAATAGCACAATAGGTGGATTTTAGACAACAGCAGTATATTTCTCGCAATCCTGAAGACTGTAAAGTTCAAGGCCAGGGTACCTGTGAATTCAGTGTCTGGTGAAGCTGTTTTCTGGCTCCCAGCTCGTGCCTTCTTGCTGGGTACTCACAGGGTGGGAGGAGCATGGCAGTTGAGATCTCTTGGATAAGAACATTAATCCCATTCACGGGATTTGCCACCACCAAACACTCCACATTGAGGGTGAGGATTCGAACGCAGGAATTCAGCATGGGGGAAAGGCAAAAACAATCAAACCATGATACCCCTACCCTGCCATGTCACTAGAGGTAATATTTGTGCCTGTTCCCTAAGAAACAGACTTGACATTCGGTGTGCAGTGAGCTAAACCATGTGCGCATTCTGGCTCAGAGCTCAGTGGCAAATTCTCACAGGCTCTGAAGTTTGTGTTCCTAAGAACTGCACACCTGGAGACCAACTGCTAGAAAGCAAAGTTGTGTATAAACAGATACAAGCGTATAGAGGTATGTGAAAGAGACAGAGCTACCATCAGTCGGCCCTCCCTCTAGTCTTGGTTTGGAACATTAGGCTCTTATCCCTGGACTAACTTAAGAGATGTTTTCCTTCAATTTAGCAGAGATCACAAGAATTCCCTGCCAACACTGGCCCAGCTGCCAACACCATGAGGTCCCATCGTGAAGAAAAAAAAGAGAAGGCAAAACACTCCAGGGACTGGAAAGGTTTTCTAGGTCATTACAAGGAGAACAAGACGTGCTAGGGAGCTGTGGTGCTGTCTTAAGCTGTAACACAGCTCAGCTGCTCACAACATGTACAGCCATTCAGCTTTGTTCTAGAAGCCAGTTCCATGTGTGTGTTAGTAAATAAAGGAACTCAGCTGCCTAAAAGAAAAGAATGCTGCCTATAGCAAGAAACCATGAGCACCACAGCACTAGTGCTAACCAAGGAACCCACAGAAAGGCAAAGGCACTGTACATCCCAAACACCTTCTAAAGCCTCAGCAGATCCATCCAGAAGGAGAAAGGGATGCTGCAGGTAGCATTTTTGTGATGGAAAAAGAGACAAGACTCCACTTCCTCCTCAAAGCCTTAGAGACATCCTGAAGATCTGTTGCTGGGGTCCAACCCAGAATCCCCTTCCTTCCTCCTTTATCTCCACTTGCCTTCTACCTACAGAGGGCAGGCTATGCCCGGGAATGGGCCACTCCAGTACCAGGCTGAGGAGAGTGGGTGAACTTGGTTCTACTGTGAAATGTGCCTCAATTCACCGGAGCTTTTGAACTCTTCAAAGGTCAGAAACTAGGGAGATGGTACAAAACCCCATTAAAAGCTCATCCTTATCTAGGGAGTGAGCCACGCCAGAGCAAATGAGGGTAATCAATAAAGTATACGGCACTTTCCTTCAGATGACTGAGGGAAGACTCTGGAACCGAGGCAGTGTAAACCAGGGCTTTTCTTTTTAAAGGTAGGCTTTCTTTTTATCATCATCATCATCTGCGAGACAAGAAAGAATCAGAAAAATCGTTCACTTACTGTTTTATCCCCAAAATGCCCACAATAGCTGGTGCTGGACCAGACTGAAGTCAGGAGCCTGAAACAATCCTGTTGAATCTTCCCACAAACCTTGTGGGAGCCTGAAATAATCTGTGGCTCTCCCTTGGGTGGCTGGGACCCTGGTATTCGGTCTTCACCTGCTGTCACTCAGGTGTGCATCAGCAGAAACTGGAACTGGAAGCAGAGGTAGAACTCAAACCTGAGTATTGGCTAACTTTGCCAAATACCAGCCCCCAATCTAGAATTTTTTTTAAAGATTTTTTTCTTGACATTTTAATATATATTTTCATTATTATTTTCCATGATACAGCTTTGTAGGTAAAGGGATTTCTCCCTCTTTTTCCCTCCCCCCATGCATTTTCCCTCCCAACATTTTCCCTAATTTATCATGGTAGTATATAACCCCTTAATAATAATTACAAATTTGATTTTCTGTTATTTACAATCGTTGTACTGTCGGTACAGGTAAAGATAGATAATCTAGCATTATACTGCCAAGGTATATTTATTTATTTTGTACTTTGCAGGTAGGTTGTCTTATATCAGAAAGAATATGTTTCTCCTCTTAATCTGGGTTATTTCACTAAGCATAAAGGTCTTCAGTTAAGGCCATTTTGTTGCAAATGGTAAGATTTTACTCTTTTAAGGCTGGGTAGTATTCCATAGAATAGATATACTTTATCCATTCATCTGTTGACAAACGGCTAAGTTGTTTCCATGTGTTCACCATTGTGAATTGTGCTGCTATAAATATGGGGCAAGCAAGGCCTCATTTCCTCACCTGTGGCAAGAAAGGATTTGCTCTATGGTTGGCTATCAAAATCCTTTCAATAATGCATCTCTGATCTGTTATTCCAATATTGCTACTGGGATAATCCAGGTCCAGAAGAGCAGAAATCTACCCTATGATCACAATCCTGCTTGAGGGAGGAGAAAGGCCTACAATCTTATACTCATTTGATCAGTTGGACACTGCCTGTCTCCCCAAAGTCCACAACAGTGACTCACTAAAGACAGCATGAAGAGGCTTGGGAAAAAATCCAGAAGGTGCAAGTGACCCCTCTTTGCCACATAGGATGTAGCCGATTTCAGTGTTAAGAAACAAGTCAGGGCCCAGTGGCATGGCCTAGCGGCTAAAGTCTTCGCCTTGAACGTGCCGGGATCCCATATGGGCACCGGTTCTAATCCCAGCAGCTCCGCTTTCCATCCAGCTCCCTGTTTGTGGCCTGGGAAAGCAGTTGAGGACAGCCCAAAGCTTTGGGACCCTGCACCCGTGTGGGATACCTGGAAGAAGTTCCTGGATCCTGGGTTCTGATCAGCATAGCATCAGCCATTATGCTCACTTGGGGAGTGAATCATCGGACAGAAGATCTTCCTCTCTGTCTCTCTTCTTCTCTGTATATCTGACTTTCCAATAAATAAATAAATCTTTGAAAAAAAAAAAAAAAGAAACAAGTCAGATGAACATAAGGATGAACTTCATTCAACCATGTTTATTGAGCAGTAAGATCTTGTAATAAAGTGCCGTATTATGTAGAGATGTAATCAGATTTCATTTCACTGATAGAGTCAAGTTTCTGTTACAAAATTGAAACAACAGAACTCTCTTTTGACAATTATTATTACTACATGCAGAGACAAGGATTCATCTAGAACTTGTATCTAAGACTTAATCCAACAGAAGTGGCTCTTTTCAGTTTAAGATGAAGCCCTAATTACAATGGCTAAAGTCTTGGAGATGAAAAATACCCAGATCTATGGCCCCACTAAAGTCACCAAGTAGAGAGGTGAGCTCTGGTCAGGTGGCACAACTAACACTGTGTTGACTATCTCAATCTCATTCTAGGCCATACTCCCATTTCTAAGCATACTGTCTCCAGGACACTTGTGACCCAGCATTCACAGTTGATGCCTTCTCCATTCCCCCAGAAACCAAATATACCTAAACTAATTCCTGCTTTGAGTGACGAGCCTCATCTCTGTTGTTCAAAACACTGGAACAATATCCTTTCGAATGACACATTTCAGGAGACATGTCCCACGAGTATCCGAAAAATGAACAAAATAAGTGGGAGCTAGGGCCCATTGGGTTACAAGTATTAATGCCCACCAGATGCTGTCAAACTATATTACTTTTATAACTGTAAGCAATTAGGAAAATTTAGAGCGAGTGAATAACGAATGAAAATCCATCCCAGTATAGGCTAACAGCCCTTTACATTGGAAATGACTATTCTCTAACATGCCTTCATATTACCTTTTGATTGAATGACTCATTCATGAAACTTTAGTGTTATAGCCTACATGGCCTCTAAACATATTTTTTAATCCTACATAAACATTTTTCTAGGAGTTGAGACTTAACACTGAAGACAGACTTCTGAAGGAACACTGTGCTGGTTATGGGAAACAGAGCCTAAGCTATCCCCCAGACCTGGACGAAACCCCTGAGTGACAAATTCACCTGGACACAGATGGGCCTTAGAAAGTGCTACCTGCTGCTTCAGAAAAAAACCATCAGGGTGGCAGAATGTCAGCAGTGTGGGTAGGATCTGATGTTCCATGGGTGCAGCCTCTGGAGCACACTCACTGGCGTGCACCCAGAGATGGCAGCTGGCACCCAAGGCCCTGGTGCTTCTGTGGCATGCTACACAGACATGAAAACCAATAGCTGTGCCTTGCAACACCAGCCTCACCTGGCCTCCCATGCTCCCTGAGCTGTCTGCCCTGAGGAAGATCAGTGCAAAGAGGCACGCTGGTCTACTGGGCCCAAGCTGGAGCTGCAGCATAAGTTCCAGACCACCAGCACAAGGTTATACCTACAAGTGTGACCTGAGACACAGGACACCTCAAGAGTATAGAAATACTCTCCAGGGTTCAGAGTTCAGGCTGCTGAGGGGCTTAAATAAATGTTCTATCCATAGCAATTATAGGGTTTCAGACAAACAGGCAGAGCCCTCTCCTGCCTGATGCTGGGCACAGCAAAAGCAGCACGAGTCCCCAGGCTGTCCTGGTCCATGTGCCTGCACCTCAGTTGTAGGAAAGGTAATCGATGAGCCGGGGAGGGATGTTTAACTTGGCGATTTTCTCCAGCCCTCGGACTCCGGTTGCCTTCCTCAAGCTCACCCTGCAGAGCTGTGACAGGGTTAGAGGTGTCTCTGAAAAAAGAGAAGGAAGAGGTACCTGGGGAGGTTAGTGTCACAAAGGAGCACAGTATCGTTAAGCCTGATAAACACTGATATGGAATTGAAACATCTACCCTTCCCCCTGAAAATAGGATACACCCAGCTGGTCTTCTCTGGAAGCTTATCATAAAGGATGGCCAGGGACCCAACAAAAGATCAGAAGATAGAACTGGCTAACATTCACTGGGATTTTGTTTGGGAGAGCACTAGCTTTGGAGAGGTGTACGTGGGCTTTTTGGTATGTTTTGGGGGAGGTCTTTTGATTATTTCTCATTTGTTATTTTTGAGCCATTGTATGATACTTTAGTGTACAGATTTATCAACAAAGGACTTGTCTGCAGCTAGTAGGTTCATTGATAAAGCTTCTAACAAAACAAGGCTCAGGCCAGAGGGTTGGGTTCAGGGCAGGTGCTAGCAGCCAGCTCCTGTTGCTCCATGCTAGAGGCTCTACTCTCCTCAGTGAATGCCACAGATCACAGGGAACCCAGGGAAAACGGGTGCATGAACATAGACAACTACAGCAGATAAAGCATTCAAATGTACATCCAAAGGGCAAAATTTGAGGCCCAGGCCTAATACGAAGCTTTCAATGGATGCACAATGAGAACTAGCAAGCTGGGAACCCCAGATGAAAGATGGAGGTGCCCGATAGCATGACGCAGGACTCACTTTCATAGTACTCAAAGCACTTGGCAGGGGCACTGCTGCTCCACGTATAGTCAGATGGCTTCTTCCCACGGTTGTCCCGGGCGTAGATGTTGCCGCCAAACTCAATGAGCATCTCAATGAGATCCACGTTCTTCACCTTGGCAGCATGATGAAGGGCTGTCTCATGAAGTTTTGCTGCGTTGACATTGGCCCCTGGAGGCCCAATGCAGAAATCACATGTCACCAAGGAAAGAACTTACAGCCAAGACAAAACTGCCTTCTACATCTTCATCCAGCACAGTAAAAAACAAACAAACAAATAAAAAGAGCCAAAGCAATTCGTATCCAGAAAACAAACTCAAGACAGACTCTACCATAGTACACTCAAAAACATTTTTCAAAATGCCAAAGCAGCACTTACTTTTCCTTTCCTTATGAGAGCAGAGTTAAACACAAATAGTAATGGGAAAGAAATGTAACTGCATATAGAACCAAAAAGAAGAAAAACTACACAAAAACTTTCCTCATGAATTAAACATCAGCTCAGACAACCCAATGCAGTTTGCCTCACCAATCCTGAGATTGCTGGAAGCTCAGGCTGAGTCACCCCAGCACTCAAGAACACACACATTGCTTCTTCCTACTGTGGGCACAGCACAGGGCTCTCAAAATATTGATGGAATGAAGGGATCAATATTTCTTACACATACATATACCTCTAGCAAGGGGAGAATAAAGAGAAATCAGGTATGTGTCTTTTTAGGTACCTAAAAACTTAGGGAGTTCATGTCAAGACTGCACTGTGAATTCAGCTCCATCCTCTGTATCCTTCTAGTAGACACTGAGAAAGACATGAAGAAATGACAGCTAAGGTACAAATGCAATGGCAGAGTAGCCTAAGCCTCTGCCTTCGGCATCAGCATCCTATATGGGTACCAGTTTGAGTTATGACTATTCCACTTCCCGTCCAGCTCCCTGTTAATGTGCCTGAGAAAGCAGTGCTTGGGAGTGTGGCTCAAGTCCTTGGGCTCTTGCACCCACATGAGAGACCTGGAAAAAGCTCCTGGCTCCTGGCTTCGGGTCAGCTTAGCTCTGGCTGTTACAACTATCTGGGAAGTGAACCAACAGATGAAAGATATTTCTTTGTCTCTCCCTCTGATTTTCTGACTTCCAAATAAAAAGAGAAAATCACAAAAATAAAAAAGAATTGCTAGCTAAATACAGTACTTCTCAATGCAATAAAACTTACGATTTTGATAAAAATACAATTTGTGTAAATCTATTCTTAGAGCCTGGACATAACTGATTCTACACAGCAGGGCTGCTGGGACCTCAGAGCTATTTAGAAAAGAAGTATCAAGTTCTTTGAAGTTGATCCCTGAATAGAACTAACAAGAGAAAGGAAATTCAAGAGAAGTTATTTTAAATAAACCAAATAACCTGACCAGGCTCAGTGATCATTGGAATTTGAGGTGGGCACTTGGCGTAGTCAGTCTTGTTCTGCTCCTGCTCATGCATGTCCCTGCAGGCAGCAGGCGATGGTTCAACTGTCGGGTGCTTGATATCTGCACGGGAGATCTGAACTAAATTCTCAGGTTCTGCATTTAGCCCTGGTTGTTGCAGGCATCTGGGGAGTTCATCAGTGCATGTGAGCTCACTCCCTGTCTGTATTCTGCTCATCCTCTTGCCTCCCTCTCTGAGATGTATGTGCATATGTGCCTCCAAAATAATTTTTTAAAGATTTTTTTTAATGTGAAAGATTTTTATAGAGAGAGGGGAGGCAGCAATATCTTCCATCTGCTCATTCACTTCGCAGATGAGCATAACAATCAGATCTGAGCTGATCTGAAACTAGGAGCTAGGAGCTTCTTCCAGATCTCCTACATGGATACAGGGACCTACAGCTTGGGCCATTCTCTGCTGATTTCCCAGTCCATAAGCAGAGAGAACTGGATTGGAATGAAGCAGCCAGGACACAAACTGGCACCCATATGGAATACCAGCACTTGCAGGAGGAGGATTAAACTGCAACACTACTGCACTGGGTCCAATAGTTTACTATAATAAGCAACAAATTTAAAAAAATCATACCACTAGTATGTCACCACTTAATGGCAATGTCAGAGAATTTTACTGGACTATTTGCTCAGCTTCTTTAAAGTCTTTTCTCTAATCCCCTTATAATCTTCTTGTCAGATGACTTTAAGGAAGATGCCATTGTATACAATCAAAGATGGCCATGCCCTTAGAATGCCAGTTTACACACTGTTTTTATCAAAACTGCTATTGGTAATGTCTTGAAACAAAATGAATATAAGGCTATTATAAATTCTAGTTGCGCCAATTCTAAAAAAAAAAAAAACCCTCATTTCTGCTTTGTAATAATAATACAAAGAAAAGTTTTTCCATTTCCAAAACCAAAACTCAGAATTTAAGCCAAAAAATGCTTAATATATATGTAAAGTTTTCTATTTTACAGAAATGTATTATGAGAAAATATTAAAAAACAATACATTTGACAAAAGAAACATTTTTCTCAACAACAAACCACTATCTCACATCAGGGGTTTTCATCCCATACTTGCCTATAAGATTAATAAATTTAATTGTATTACAATCATAATGCAAGTAAAAACATTAAATGCTAAATGCACAACCACAATGAAAAACAAATCCTAAGGCCCACAGAATCTGTAGTCCAAATAATTCGTCTACTGTCATTAGTTCTGGCATCTTGTTGCCAACTAGGAAGGAAAGTGATTATTTCTAATTTAGCAATAGAGAAAGAGGCACAAGAGAAGCAAAACTACTCCCTCACAATCACAGAGAAAAGTGGCAGGAAAGAGCTGTGAAAACTTTTCCCTCCCTTTCATGCTGTTGGCTAGACAATTCTTGGGCAAGGTGGCTCTTGCTAAGGGCCTTCCCAAGGCACACACAATTGGATCTTTCTAATATATGTTTGGTATTTTCTGGTTGGAGGCAAAGATAGGAAGGTGAATATGGAAGGAAGCTAGAGTCATCAGCAGCAGTTAGAAACTCCAAGCCAGGTACGCACACATCAAAGTGGGCAGATGGACCTGGAAATATAATGTTGGATAAACAAAGAAGAAATAGAGTAAGATATACACCTAGTGCCATCTATGTACATTAGAAATGCCTGCCTTGACTGATGAGCATTTTACAAAGACAAAGAGATTTTAAAACACAGACACATATGGAAGAGGGAATGTAGGCACAACGGAAGGAAAGAAGGGAGGGAAATGGGGAAAAATAAAGTGGCTTTACATGAAGCAAAGATGCGAATCGGTCCAGAACTAAGAAGTGTGAGAAAGAGACAGAGAAGAGAAACCAGCACAACAAACATCATCTAGACATTAAAATCTCTCAACTGCACATGCTTTGCAGAAACAGGTCAAAGTTGGTTCATTATTAAAACCCAGACTTCAAAGAAAAATAGAATCAAACTGGATTCAGAGTAAAACCATGGCCAAGTGAAAGATGCAAGGACTTTGTGATACCTGGTAGCATGCCAGGAACCAGCACAATAAAAAACACATAGCTCACTTTGTGCTTTTGCAACAACAGACTGCCAAAGGATTGTGACAAGGAGTGTGCTGAAAGTGGCCACATAACCACAGCACTGCTTCTGAAGGCTTCCTTTGGAGTTAAACATTTACTGGGAGTGATCAGATTAAAAATTACTTCAGCATAATAACTGGACTTTCACCTTTCCTAGCCTTCCTCCTTTGCAAATATAATCTAGTTCCTTGACTTGTTCTCACTGCCTACAGAGGGAACAAAAAGAACAATGGTCTTTGTGTCTATCCTGTGGAACACAACACAGCTCAGCTTCTGCAGCAATGCCCAAGTCCTCTCCAGTTCACGTACAAAGACAACTACCTGCATCTAGGGGCCTGGTCCGTGGTTTTCTTTAGATTTTTCCAAGGGATCTGTTACCTGATTCCAAAGTTTAGACTCACTATATTTAAAATATTCATTTTGAGTATACGGAGATTCTGCCCACATCTTTGTTTGAAATGTCCCAACACGAAAAAAATAGTTCCAATGGTGGGAAAATGAGTATGCCATTTGGTTTGACATGGAATGTTAAGAATATCAGAGCTGAGAATAATCAAGAAAAACATTTAGAACTGATAGCTTGACAGCATCAGCAAGCATCAAACCAGCACTGACAACCATACTGTTTTCTCCAAGAAGATCTTACTCTTCTTTAATTCCCATGTAAGTAGAAACACCCTTTGAAAGCTTCTATAAAGCCTGTTCTATTTTTATATGGTTTCCCTGCTACTTTGCCCAGTACACCAACAATGTTGGCACCTTGCAAGACACAGAGTCAAAAATCAAAGTGGGGTCAGTAGGATCAAGTTAACCTCAGGTCTGAGTATGGGGCTCTGCTGGATCAACCTCTCATTCTCTTCCATTGGATTGGTTCAAATAACCTAGGCTTGAGTCAATCAGAAGACAAAAAAGTTTAAGCCAAAGAGGATCTGTTCAGGTTTTGGACACAGGACTCATCTTGGGCCAATGAACATAAGCAGAAGTATGCCTACAACATCTGGGAAACTACAACATCTGGGAAACATTTTCCCAGTCTGCCACAGATGGTTGGCATTGTGTTACAGCAGGTTAAGCAATTACCTTTGACACTCATATCTCATGTGGGAATACCTGCTTGAATTCACCTGTATTACTTCTGAGCCAGCTTCCTGACTATTGCTTGGGAAAGCAGTAGAAGATAGTCTAAGTTTTCCAGCCCTGTTTCCCACATGGGAAAACTGGATGGAGTTTCAAGCTCTTGATCAACCCTGCCTGCTGCGGACATTTGAGGAATAAAATAGCAAATGGAAGATCTTTATCTCTGTCACTCCCTCTCTATCATTTTGCCTTTCAAAAGAAAGTAATAAACTAAGAAAAAATCTATAACCTCAGAAAGTAAAATCTGGATTTTAAGTCTGAATCTACTATAGTCATTTGATCATTTATCTAAAGCCAGACTTATGTAAAGCTATCAGAGTAAAAAGCAGACTTGCAAAATTCAAAGAAATCAAAATATTGGAGACATGAGCAGGTCAGACTGCCCCTAAACCTGCTCTACTTCTCATCCTTTAAGTTAGATGAACGAATAAATACACTTCACTATTTAATCAGGTGCAAAAGGTTTGCTATGCCTTACAAAGGAGTTGCAACTACAAAGTCCTGAACAATACAGAAAGGGTGCTGTGTTCACATGGGATATTGAACACAGAAAGGAATTAAAGAAGACATGGAACTTGTGTGTTCTGAGCTCAGAAACACAACAGCAAGAACACTACCCTGTGTTTGGTACAGCCACCAGAGGAAGGCTTGGCTGGAAGACTAATGACTATTTATAATTAATATATTGCAATATAAAAAAAAAGTTTTACAACCCTAAAATTCATGGGAAACATCCACAAATTATACATTTGAAATAACAGGCATGAGAAAAACAGCAGCTGGTCCAAATCAGACTGACCTTGGCTGCAAGGGACTGGAGGGGAAACAAGGTCTACATCCCAACCTAAGGATCAGTTTACGGTCCCATGTGGCCCTAGAGGAACCAGGGGGAATTCTTTCCTCTCTCTCTCCTTTTTCTTGTTTAAGCCAGGAGAATTCTACATAAAATGGATCTTTTTCCACCGCAAAGTCTCCAAAGTGGTTCATCAAAGTAAGCAAGATTCTCCAAGAGAAAACTCCATATAACTTAAACTCAAATGTGTCACCTGGGGGAAACACATACTCTTCCTATTTCTGAACATTTTGCTTTTTGTCCTAGCACAGATGAAATGGCTGATCTGCAATTATCCCTCATTCAAACATTTTAAATTTGGCTCATATTTAATTCCTTGAACAATATTCTCTTGACCATGTGTTCAAATTTCTTGTACAGGCAGATCCTGCCCCTAATCCTCAGCTGGGTGAATGGATTGGTTTTTTCCCACCTTGGTACTCTATCCTGACTCTTTTTTGGACACCTGATAACAGCCTTAATTCCAGATGCTCCATTCTCCTAAACACTGCAAACTTCTTATCTCATGGTATCCTCTTTCTTAGATTCAGATAGCAACTCCATCAGGTGGATAGTTGTTTAAATTCTCTAAAAATCATCATTAGTATTAGTTGAGCACCGACTATATTCCAGGGTCACAGAAAACATTACCATGAATACTTCCAGCAACCTTGCACAATGGGTTTTATTTTTCCAGTTTTATGTTTTTAGAAATCGATGTCCAAGATCTCAGCAGGCAAGTGGAGAGTTAGATCCAAATCCTAGTCCACCTGAACCTGCCACCCGGTTCTTTAACAGGCACAGTGTTGGCAGGTCACGCACTTGTCAAATACCAGATGAAACAAACACCCACGCACCTGCATTGAGCAGCACTTTGACACAGTCCAGGTGCTCCCGGGCACAGGCCACATGTAGAGGGGTCCCAAAATGACAATCGTGTGCTTCCAGATTGGCCCCAACATCAATAAGAAGTCTCACACATTCGGAACTCCCTTAAAATAAACAGGAGAGGGTGGGAAACACCTATGAATTATGCACTGGAAATAATAAGCATGAGACGAACAGCAGCTGGACTAAATCAGATGGAACTTGGCTGCAGGGGACAGGAAAGAATATAAGGTCTATATCCCAACCTAAGAATAAATTTATGACCTTGGGTGGCCCTAGGGAATCCAGGGGAATTCTGTCCTTTCTGTTCTCTTGGGAAGTGAGATGATTCACAGCCCACTTGGCAGAGGGAAGAAGAGGAATGCTGCCCTCTTGCTGTGAGAACAAAAGATTTGAGACATGAGCCAAGAATGGGCAGAGCAGAGTCCTGGCAGCCCCTGTACTGGCAGGGGAGTACCCAGCCCATGCCGACAGCACATTGTTGGCCTCCCAGTCCAGCCTCTTGGACTGGATGAACTCCCTTGGACTTTCCCACCAACACTGAGAAAGCAGTGGGACATGTTCTAAGTACTTGGACTGCCCTCCAGCCAGATAAAGGCTACCATCTTCTCCCTGGCTTGGCTTCCTGTATTTCTAATGCAGTGTGGATCAGTTAGGAACCTTCCTCTCACCCTTCCTCACAAATTCTGCCCAGCTCTATCCTCTGATCAATCACCTCTTCACTATTGGTGGTTACCTAATTTACATCTCCAAGCCTAAAACCCAGTCTCACCTACAAGTCTGATGCCCGTTCTCCTGGATATCTCAGCTACTCTAGTCCTCTTTCCTCTCGCAGAGCCCCTGTTCTTGGTCACTTCCTCTGAGCCAACCCATCACTTCCAGCTCAAACCTTAGTCATTTTTTTTACCACTTGTTCCTCTTGCTAATACTAAATCCTACTGAATTTTCCCACAAGCCTTGTAAATAAGTTAACACCACACCAACATCCTACTTTGTTGTGTGTCAAGATCATTACGATAGTCTAATTCATCCTTCTGCTTCCAAGATATTCCCCAACCACCATTTGTCTATCTCTACACAGATGGCCACTAAACCAAGCGTGCAACCTTTGTTACCCTATCATTCAATATCAACTCAAAAACCTCTTGGCAACAATCTTCAGGTGCTAAAAGATTATCTCATAACACGGTAAAGCTACAAATACCTTTAGACTTGCAAGACCTCATCTCTTGATCTCCGTATTTCTGCCAGACCCTCTGATTATATTGTTCAAAGCTTCTTTTTCTCTAACATAAGTAAAACTTCACTTCTACTCTCAAAGAAAAAAAAAACCTCACTGAATAAATTGGGGGATGAAACAATAGAGAAGAAAACCCCAATACTGCCCCACAGAAGAAGGCACACCCTAAACCCCACATCCAAGAGAAATGCATCCAAAGGCAAACACTTTGCTGATTTCTCAAAATACAGGATATAGGATTATATATATATATATATATATATATATAGAGAGAGAGAGAGAGAGAGAGAGAGATTATGACATCAGTTAAGGGGCCTACATCCCACATACGAGTACGTGAGTTCAATACCTGGCTCTAGCCCCTGGCTCCAGCTTCCTAATAATGTAGACCTTAAGTAGTAGTAATGATGGTTCAAGCGGTTGGGTCCATGCAACACATGTAGGAGACCTAGACTAAATTTCTAGCTCTCAGGTTCAGCCTGACCCTTAAAATTTCCAGTCCAATTTATTGTGCCCCTCTACTGAGACCTTGAAAATCAGTGACACAAGAAAAGGAATATTTCCCTGTATCTGAAAAGATTCTCTTATATTTTCCCTCCATCTGAAATCTGCCCATCTCTGAGGACAGTTGTAACCTCACCTGCTCCCTGAGCCTCTGAGACAACCCACTCCTTGAATGTGCCCAGGCTCAGCCATGCTTGAATCTTGCTCCTCTCCCAGCTAAGACCAAATCACTGTAAACACTAAAGAACCACTGTAGAGTTGATCAAGTTATCAGAAGAATTCTTGCAGACAAATTCCAGTGTTCACATCAGAAGGATTTTTGGAGACTTCACTGCAGGAGGGAATCCTACGGGCAACACAGGATTCACTGCCTCCGAGCCCTGGATGAAGGTTTTCCCTCTAAGAGGAAAAGCTAAGATTTTCTACAGTTGAGCTATGGAGATCCAGAACCAGATCCAAGTCTCTCCTAAGCTAGCGCATGGGTTTCCACTTCTGTCTACACTGCATCAGCCCTTCCTAGGGAGGACACTTCAGAACCCCAGTATGGTGAGCAGCTCTGTTTCCACCCACCAACTCACCACTCATGCAGGCCTCGTGCAAGGGGGACGCTGTATACAGGGGTGGATTGACCTTCGCTCCATAGGACAGTAAGAGCTTCACACACTCGATGCTGCCTGAGGCACAGGCGTCACAGAGGGGAGTGCTGCCATCAATGTTGCGGGCATCCACCTCACAGGAAAGAAGATACAAGTGTCAAGGGGGCAGGGAAAAATGCCATGCAACTTGCTTTCACCATGGCTTGCTATCACGAGCTAGGGCACTGAGCTAGGCAAGGGAGTTCAAAAAGGAAAATGCATGGTTTGGGGGATACTTCATAGCCTCCAAAGTACAAATGTCATCCTGTTTGGGGCTTTTCTTTTGGGAGGGGGCAGAATAAGCTCAGCCTCACCCTCAACATCACCGTAAAACGCAGAGTAGAAAATATATCTTATATCAAGCCTCAGCTAGAAAGATGCCTAAGATGGCTTAACATGTCTTTTCCTAGTGTGAAAATCATAGACCAGGAGAAAGCAAGTCCCTAATTAGAAAACTACTTCAAATCTGTGCAAAGTCAGCTTCTATTTGGATACTCAGTACAACTTGTTCCAGTCCAAGCTTGCAGAAAGAGTAAATAGTGCATGGTCTTCCCCTCCTGGCCTTCTTCTCCCCCATTCCTTGAACAGGAGAGGGGAGCCGCATTCCTTCAGCATGGTGCAGGGCAGGCTCCTACCAGTTCACCAGAGCCATGTGCTAAATAACCAGAAATTCTGCTAGTCAGAAACAGCTGGCAGCTTAAAGCAAACACAGTGTGAAGATTTCTTCCAGGAAAAGCAGCAAAATATGTCTGTTCCGTTGTTTTCCTTCAGAGTCAGTTTGCTAACATTCCATTGAGTATTCCTGAAAGCTGGAACCCTTCTCTTTGCACCCTAAGCATCAGCTTTGCAGTCTCAGTCAGGTCTACCCACCTAAACGACCAGTCCAGGATGTAGCTGGCCTGCCTGGGTCCTGCTCCCTGCAGAACACAGCATTCCCACGGACATTTTGCTAAAACCGCCTTCTTTTCAGCCACCAAGGACTTCTTAATTAATAGTCCACAAGCACTTTCTGGCCCTTAGTTTCCCAGTCTTTGATGTGAAACTGACACAGCTCCTCCTTGTCCACCTTGGCTTCCAGCATATTCTATTTTGGCCTTGCCTGCCTTTCCTTTGAGGTTTCTCTTCCTCTGGAGTCAGTCTCCTCCATTCCTCTGTGCCGCTACAGCCAAGCAAGGAGTCTGTCTTAAAGGGCCACTTACCTGGGCTCCAGCTGCCAGCAGTAGCTGCACACACCTAGCCTGGCCCTGCAGACTGGCTGCATGCAAGGGCGTGATGGAGTCTACCGTGACCTGGTTAACACAGGCACCGCTCTCAATCAATCGTTGCAGCTGCAGGCTTTCACCTCTCTGGGCAGCCTCATGGACAGGGGTGCGTTCCACCCAGAAACCTGCAAAGGAAATGCACAAGATCAAATGCAGTGTTTTCACTTCTTCCTTTCCAATGGGGATGCCTTTTATTTCTGCTTCTTGCCTGCTTGCTCTGGTTTGAACAGAAATCATGAAAGAAGACATCCTTATCTTGCTATTGACCTTAGAAGGAAAGCATAAGGCCTTTTTTCAAAACAATTTTTTATTATTATTGTCTCATTATACAGTTCTATAGGCTCTGGGATTTCCCATCCCCCTCCCAAAGTTCCTTTCCCTCATTCCAATTTCCCCTCTAGTATTACAACGAATGGTCCTTCATGAACAGCCATAAGTCTATCATGCTGTTATTGAGGTGTTTCCTGACATTGTAGGCAGGGACAATGTTGGGGAGTCCAGCATCCTACTGTTAGTATAATTTTAACTGTTTCATTGGGAGTTCATCTTTGGTCTGGATGCAGAGAGACATACTGCACTTTGTCTCCACATCTGAACACATCAGTCTCTGCTACACCTGCATTATACATCCCCTCAAATACAAAGCCAGTGAACACAGTCCACAACAGGGAGAAAAAGGATAAATTTTCATTAACATGAAGTTAACAAACATGCTACAAAAATACCAATGTGTCACTAGAGTGATGAAAAAGAAAATCAAAAACCTTGTAGAAATTGATGCAATTGCATGACCCTTGAGGCTCTGGGGAAATTACAATTAAAACTAGAACATCATTGCATATGAGATGTAGCAAAAACAGTAATGAAAAGGACACTTACAATGTCAGGTGTTTACAATCAAACCATTTTAAGTTTCTAAAATTTGTATCAAAATAACTTTATTTTAAAACATAAATTTTAGTTGAATAACTTTCCTATTATTTTATTTCATTTATATTAAGGAAACAAGCTTCAGGTATTTCATTGACAAAGATTTAAGAGCATAATGATACTTCCCACCTGAAGGAGAGGGAGGATAGGAGTGAGAAGAGGGAGAATAGGGTGATCTTTCACTATTAACTTCTGTAGTTTGAATACGATTTGACTCCCCAACACATGAAGATGTCTAAAATCCCCAAAGTCACAGGTTCATAGTACAGTACTACAGGGGTGGAAGCTCAATCTAATTGTGGTGCTTAGGTACTGAACCTGGTGGTAGGTTTATGAATATTTGGGGGCCGGCCCTCAGATGGTAGCTCTCATCAGAGGATTGATTACAAAGCCAAGTTGTAGCTAGCTCATGGGATTGGCAGAGGATCCTTCCTCCTCACATTCTCTACCCTTGCCATGCTCATGTCCCACCACATGGACTAGCCGATGGAACCTACCCAGTTTTAGACTGGTGAACCTCCAAAGCAGTGGACCCAAACAAATCTTCATTCCTGCAAAGGTAGCTTATCCTAGGCACTGCATCATGGTAATGGAAAGCTAAGACAGTGTTGTCAGCTTCGGGCTTTTCATAGATGCTTTTTGTTGTGTTGAGGGAGTTCTTTTCTGTTTCGTTCCTTGAGTGTTCTTGTTACAAAGGGTGTTGAAGTTTCTCAGATACTTCTTTTGCAACTGACGAGGTAACTAGGTAGGCTTTCTTCCCCCTAATTCTGTCTACACAGTGTGTTAGTTTAATTGGTTTCTAGGCATTGTGCCAACCCTGCAATTTTGAGATAAATCTAATTGTTCATGGTGCACAATCCTTTATGTTGCTAGATTTAGTTTGTTAGTGTTTTGTTAAAGATCTCCCCATCCACATTCATAAGTATAGCTTTCTTGTAACCTATTTGTTTGGTTTAGTATCAAGATGATACTGATAATCAAGGTAATCTTACAGAGTTTAAGAAAATGAAAAGACAGGGGGAAGGCAACATGTGGCCATGAGGCATGAGCACAGGAAATGTTACCAGTTAGCAAAGGGAGTGCCCAGACCTGATCACAAGCTGTTCCCAGACCAGGTGTGTGGAACTCAGCTGAGACAAGATCCTCCCCTCCCCAGTGACTGCACCATTTCTGCTGGAGTGATGCTTTGGAAATCCAAGACCTGTGTTCTTCTGGCAAGATCCCTCTGGGACTGGAACTCTGCCCCTACATCCTAGTGCCACCACCACATAATTAGTCTCCTGTGCCCTCCTCTCTCTCTTCACTCCTACTAATGCAGTTAAGTCAAAGTCTGTCACATGGGACCTACTCATAATCTTCCAATAACTCCTTTCTCCAGGATGAAACCTAGTCCTGTCAGCCACCCTGACTCACCCCACAGCACACGCTCTTGTCTCCAACTACACATGGTTCAGTGTCTGATGGTTCCATGCCTCCTTCCCCTGCATGAAATGCCCTCCTCCATTCCAACTCCCTTCCAGCTGAGTGAGCCAATTCTTCCTCATCCACTAAGACTGAGTGGCATGTATGAGCCTTCAGGAAGCCTCCCAAGCATGCAGTGCACCGCATGCCATCTCTGAATCCATGCTGGCTTGCATTCTTCTCTTCCTAGCCTTTTCCTGAAGGCACCTCAGGGCAGTACCACAGTTGACACACAGGTATTCAAATGAATAAACACTGCACAGAAACATCTTTTATTTCTCAGACTAAACTTCCTACCCCTATCATTGGATCTACCCCTGCCCCACTGAATCACAACCACTTTCCAACCAACTTTACAAGTCTACCTTGTCCCAGACAATGACCTGAGACCTAACACAGTTTTGAACCCCGACTCTGGCTCTAACAGGGGCTTGTACATTAATTAAAACGGTTTATGTTGTAACAAGGCCAGGGTTGCAGCCCCTTGAAAACGGAGTGTGTGATAGTTTGTGGTCCAGTACTGACAGATGGACTTCAGCTTATTCCTGCCTCCTCCCTGTGCCTTGATTCAGTATCGCTGTGATACTGGATGACTAAGCAAGAATCATTACCTTGAAAGTCAGAGAGTTCCATGGTCATCATTTACATGTTGACTCTAGGTGACTACGGGTCACCTCAAGAAGGAATGACATGTACCAGAAAACTTCCTCCCTACATTTCTGCCCAAGACATGACCTTACTGATTCAGTACATATGCCAGGTCCACACCTTGCTGGCTTCATGCTCCTATATCCCTCTAATGTCCTGACACCCGCACATCTGACAACCAGGCCCCATCATAGACCCTAGCCTATCCTTTGCAATTGAGAAGTCCTAACTGAGTAATTCAACAGGTTCAGTATCAGCTTGCCCTTAGTGGCAAGTCTCAGGAACCACACAGTCCATGAATTCAAACCCCATCTCTGTCACTGGGGACTGTCACGGTGAGCTTAAAACTAACCCTCTTAAAGCTTCCATTTCTTTGCTGATAAAATGATACTGATGTCCACACAACATGGTGGCTGTGAGGCTGGAATGAAATAATGCCTAGACACTATTTTACATCATGCCTGGCTACCCGTAATGACTCAGCAAGTGGCAAAGGCTAAGACTATCACAGAACCTTAATCATTATTACTTCTTCTGTTAGTCCAGTTTGGACTCTTGTGCTTGTTCCATTACCAGTCCCACCTTGTACTCCAGCCCCAGTTACTGATCCTTGTCTAAGTCCTTGGTGACTGACTGAGTGGCTGCCCAATCTACCTGCTCACTTCCTGGGTCCTCTGAGACCAGAGCCCTGCAGTCTTCATAAATTGTTCAGTAGTGAGTCAGGGCCTGCTTCACAGAGCCAAATTCTAAAGACCTAAGAGTCGTTCTGGCTGGACGCTGCCAGTAGCAATAAATAGAGTTGAGTATTTGTACAAAACAACACAACAAATCATTTATGTTTCTGTTTCTTTTTCCTTTCCCCATCCCAGAGAATTTATTTAACAGCATCCTACTTCATCTTCCTTGAAGTCAGAATCCTGATTTTTAGAACCCAAGCAGAAGCTGTTCAGCCCTGCCTGCTGTGGAACTGAGCTTAGCCCAGCCGTTTTCAAACTCTCCATAGATCACCATCCATGCTTCTCCAGCTAAACTCATTTTGGTGGTCTTGATGTGGCCCAATCACGACCATGACTATGATCTTGATTGGGTTCCAAGCCACTATACCTCCAGTCTAGTCACTTCTCCATGGTCAGTAGCCCTGCTCCAGTAGGGAATACTTTCAAACACCACCAAAGACACCTTCAAGACAAAGCTGACTCAGATTGTTGGCTTGGAATTGGGTCACAATCTGCAAGAAGCACTCTTGATGTTGCTAAGATTATGAATTTAATTCAAAGGAAATCAATAAAGGAAGACTGGGGTCCTGGCCGCAAAAATGTCATTTCTGAAATGAAAACAGTCTGCAGGTTCTGGGAGAAGCCTTTCCCCATAAATATCTCAGTAAACATATTAGAAATGGTGAGGGATAACCCTCTTATATGACCTATCAATCAATACAGTGCTGTGAGATGAAGAGAGGAGGTCAATCAAATAGGATAGGAAACAACCACAGAACAAGATCAGGCATGGAGTGCCATGAGGTGAGAGGGGGCGGTTTTGTGAAGGCTGCCCTCAATAAGCTGTAGAACTGGGAAGTCAGCAAGTCTCCACTGACTTACCTGCCAGATAGTTAAGATTTGTACACAGATCAAAGAATCTTGGAGATAAAAAGATTCTTAGAAATCTTTTCCCACCCACAGTTCCAGAAAGAATGGCAAAATGCACCATTTATTCATCTTTGGCAGTTCCCCAGACTGCATTATGACAGTAAAGGAATAAAAAGGGTGAGGGAGGTAAACTGAAGATTCATTTATTTTACTTGAAAGTCAAAGTTGCTGAGAGAAAGGGAGAGACAGAGAGAGATCTTCCATCTGCTGGTTCACTCCCCCACATGGTTGTGACAGGTAGAGCCGAGCCAGACCAAAGCTAGAAGCCAGAAGCTTCTTCCAGGTCTCCTACTTGGGTCCAGGTTTCAAAGGCTTGACTCATCCTCTGCTGCCTCCCCAGTCCAATAGTAGAGAACCTATATAGCACTTTCTTTTTTTTTTTATTGTTGTTTACATTGTATTATGTGGTACAGTTTTATAGGCGCTGGGGATTCCCCCCA